ATTGTGAAGTAGATCTATGCTGGTGGTGGCAAACATTAAAAAATAGTGAAAGACCTCAGGTGTACTAATCGAGAAGTCACGTTATCATGTTCCTCTGTGGAAAGCTCAGATCGTCCGAGCACATTGAAAAGGTAGTGTGCTTCCAGTCGGCATATTCACAAAATTAAGGATGCCTCTAAAAAAGTTTTGAGAGTGGGGTAACTTTAAATTTTCTTATAAGAATGTCTGTAGCCGATACTGCTTCCCAAAAAATAGTGGAACTCAGTTCTAGAGCCTGCTGATTTCAGCGAATTAGGTAGGAAGTCTAACTGTGAACAGCGCACTTTGAGGGTGCTTCAATACTGTTGAAGCGAGCTGTATATACTCAGCAGAAAAAAAGAAAATCGACAGATCAACTGACCTGTTTTAATAGAGTTTTTTCCAATTTTCTTTTTGTCACTTGACTGGCACATGTGGTCATCTAAAGAAGTGGTATTAAGGAAATGTTTATAAGATAATTCAAGCAGTTTTGCTTCTCTGCTGAATGCATACTCCCAAGCCACACACTGTGCTGCCCCTTGTACGTTGCCTAGTTTTTGCTTCAGTATTCCTCTCTCAAGGGATTTTGGTACATTTAGGTATCATCGCCTCTGGAGAAATGAATTGAGCCGTTATGCTACTTCACGTCTTGCGAGTGCATTCTCCAACAAAACAGTCATGGAGGTGAATTGATCAATGATCAGTCGCGCAGGAGCTTTATCATGGGTCTACATTACTAACTGACCATCAGCGAGAGCATAAGGTGTGTTTGCTCTCCGGAATTACCATTTCGTTGACTGGTCTTACCGCTTTACCGTAATTTACTGTGTCAGGTGAAAGGGTCATGCAGTATGAAAGCTTTAGCGGGCGCAAACCCGCAATATGATTTTCAAATCCTCATCATTTTCGTTTCCTGTTTTTTTAACTGATTGATCAAATGGAGCCCCAATTTGGCGATAGCTCACAGTTTACGAATTGTGCTCCCAACGTCTTCACTCTGACATTGTCCAGTCAAGCCTAAAGCAATGCACAAATCCGCCTCTCTCCACTTTTTGGGTCGAAGATGGAACCTTGAGCCAACCAGTTCTCAAGAGTTTCTACTTGTTAAGAAAATTTTGTATCAAATAGCTACTCAAGAGATCTTTCAAAAACAGAATGAAGAAGAAATTACAATTCACTCGGTGAATCATTGACTTGAACATTGCTCACCGTTGATGTTGAGAGTCGGTATTTGATTATTGTAATTGTGTCAATGATAGCTATGAGAATTACAATAATCACATCTTGAATAAAGTCCACATACCACAATTGCCCGCAAAACTGGAACAAAAGGAGGTAGATCATTTTCAGAAGGAGAAAAAAGTGTGGACATGAAGCACTTTCTCATAAATAATAACACATTGAATCGCTAATCACTGTTCTAGAATGCGCAGTACATGCTTTCTTCATTCATTTCATTCTTACAGAGTCCTACTAATCGACATTCGGAGTCACTTTATGTAATGGTATGAAAATTTCTAGAAAAATCTCGGAGGCAGATGGCTTGCGCTCCAGCGTTCGCTTTGGCCAATCTCAAAAGCTCTCCGGTTCACTGAGGTGTTCGCATTCGCGGCGTAAACCTCAATTTTCAGAACCTATTCCAGCGCCTCTCTGAAATCGTATTCCACTCAATCGATGACTAGACCCATCTCTCTCAAGAAAACTATAAGAATAGAAATTTATGTTCATTCCGCTACGAATTCCCGCCTCATATGTGTTACAAATGTTGGCGACGGGGACGCTTCCTTTTTTCTTTTAGGTGCCTTCAATATGAAACCCTTAAGCCTCCTCACCTTCAGCAAAAAAATTGTGTAGCTCCACATATTGTACTCTCAATTATCGCATCTAAACGTTTCGCCTGTGCTCTCCCAATTCAGAAGGTTGAGTTCAATTTGCCCCCACGACACCTCACCGCATCATGGTCGTCTCTCCACGTTACTCACTCCATGCCCGCTCTTTGCCTCTCCGAAGGTATGCCTTTATTAACGAAGGCTAATTCCCGATGGTTTGTTTCTTCACGGCAGCTGAATTTCAGGTATGTAACTTCATTCGCTGCAGGAGTGATCACCCATGACACACTTATTTGAGGAAGGAATGCTACACCTTCTGCGCACCAGTGCACAATTCCCTTAACACCGTCGCTCTTGAAAAGTCGCCCTTTGCAAAACATTTATATTATGATTCAAACACTACCTCACTGGGATTGAAGATGTAGGTGTAAACGGGATCCGAGTAAGAAAGCGAGCAGATTCCTGAACGAAGAGCATATTTTTATGTCGTCTTTTGTGCGAGCTTGACATCAGTCTCCATCTTCTTCGCGGCATAACTACCGAAAATTATTATACATCTCGAACTCGAAAGGTCGATATTTCAAACACTTGACTCGTGCGGTCACGACCTGTTTTCATTTCGGACTATGCAAGTGGTAAGTGTTGTCGCACTACAACAACTCCGCCTATTCTCGGTTTTTCCCCTCTACACACTTCCTTCAAATATACGATCAGATCTGCGAAATGTGATAAATAACAATCTTTTACACGAGACTGGTTCAGCTTTGACGCTTCATCTTCGATCACCTAACAATTATAATCCTATGCGGTTTTCCCACTTCAAAGGTGTGTCGACAGTAGCGATGTCAAAAGTGCTACTTATCAAACATCAGAGGCAACGATCCAAAAGCCTTCATATGCATCTCAAAGCAACAACCCAGATTAACTTGCTGGGGGAACTGCGGTCGATAATGAAAGTGTGGATGCTGAGCTTACTGAAAAATGAAAAAAAAACAAAGCAAATCGCCGACGAAACCCTTAAGAAAGAACCTCTTTCCTCATTCAAAACGAGGAAGGCGTGTGTTTGGACGAGCTTTCTAAACTTGCTTGCTCCGCGGCTCCTTTAACTCGCACGTATTCTAATTAGACGCTACGTTGTTGTACACGTTGCGTCACCTGGTGTGGCGTGGTATCTCTCAGTAGCCCATTAGCTCACTGAGTAAGGCCGTAACGTCATTGCGCACAAATTCGAGCGGCAACAGCAGCACACATTTGTTATACGCGTAGGCTACTATATCCTACCCCCAAAATGGATTGTTTGACACGGCCTCATTCGGGGTTGTTGCTTCAGGGAAGGTCCCTGTAACTCAACAATGCTGGCAATCCATTTCTTTTTACCATTATGTTGTTATTTATGAAATTCACCTGTTCACGTTTTTTTTCGTCTCTGCTTCCTGAGTGCATGCTAATGTGTATTCGAATAAATCAATGAACTCACTTCTCCCATGTAGCGCACATGGTGCAATGATGGATACTGTCCATATAGCGATAATGAGAATGGTGGTGTTGCGATTACTAAAACAAGGCAAATTTCTCCATCCTGGAATCGGAGTGTCACCAAGCTAATCAAAGCTTCAGCAAAAGGGGCCAATCAAAAATGCGACGAAACTTGCTGATGTGAGCAGAATGACTTTTTTGCCCTACCTGTGTGTAGGTAGTGGACTACAAAATTTGGTCACTCCCATACCGAGGGAAACTGTGCAGTAAACCGAATGCATCTGTGTGACATCGCGGTAACTGTAGGCCTGCCAAGCTTAACCCTAATTACCTCACCACTCTGCATTAACTGGGCGAATCCTTTTGCTGGATCCGATCTCTAATGTCGTCAAGGTCACATACTCCCGGCTATAAAGTGTGTAGTAGTCTCGCCTACGCGCTCTATCGCCTATTCCACCGTCCGTGCTCATTCACCAATTGCTTCAGCATGGGAATGAGCAAGCACTTCATTTTGGTCATTTCCCAATGATTGGCTCGCCCATAGTCAACCACTGACCCGGCCGCACGTTATGCCAATAGCTCGCCTCAAGAGATCAATACTGGGTGTGGTACAGGGGGGGCCGATCTTGAAGTGTGGCCTTTTAGAGCTGGCGCTGTCCACAGTGTACTGTTCTCGTTTCCCCTTACTGGCGCCCTCATTTGCGCATGCGGAGCTTTCACCAGCTATCGATCCGCTGGTGTCGGTGCTTCGAAGCCTGGGAAGGCACCTATAGCAGGAGTCTTGTGTTAGGTGCCCATCTACAACCTACAGCCGGCGTGACAGTGCAAGTTCCGTTGTTGATGCCCTTGGCTTTGAATAATGGAGAGCTGCCAGCTACTGGAATGGACAATGGCAGACAATCTAAGGTGGTGGACACTACGACCCGCATGGGTTGAAGTGGACAGATTCTTCTCTTCTTCAAGGTATGATAATTTGGGTCCTTGCTCTTCCACTCGTGGGGCCTCATCTCATGGTAGAAGCGATCTCAAGGAACGCGACTAGGAGGGGGGAGATGTTCCCTATGAAACCGCTCTGGATTTCGTGAAATATCAAGGTGTTCCACTTAATTTCTGCGCAGCGCTCGTCTTCAAGTTGCTCGCTGGCGTGATCTGGCGTGTGGCCGATGATCATCTCCTTTTTTCAAGAGTTACGTCAAATATCTCGATTTTCGTTGAAATTTTGCCTGTAGTGGGTGAATCAAGGTGCTGATCACGGATATGGCGTCCTTGTTTGACTTCGGCGCCATTTGGCGCCAATTTGGCGCAGCAGATTTATTCTGCAAGTTTCTGACAGCAGCCATTTGCAATGGCTGCTGATGGTCCCGGTTGTAGATATAGCGTCACTTTCGACGCTAAAGCTCATTGGCGCCGATTTCGAAGTGACAATCAAAAATGCGGAATATAGGATGCAGCGGAGTCGAACCCCGGAGTCCGTGCCAACCCGATTCTACCACTTGACCACCAGTTCACTCCGGGTTGTAAGATGCCGACGACGCTTACGAAACCTCCTCACTTTTTCTACCACCACCACTGACAGTATATTTTGTGCAACTTCGAAACGTCACTCCAAAGTGAAAACCGCTAATTCCCAACAATTTTTTCGACCCTTTTTTGGCCTTCAGGGGCCGTTCAGCGAAAATGAAACACAGCATTGTGGTCACGTGAGAGCCCCACGGCATGCAAAAAATCCGTTTCAAAATAGCCGTCTTGCCCTAAAAGACCTCCCTTACTTTTGCGGTTCCAATCCTGAGACTCAAAAAAATATTTCGGGACAGCGATACGGCGTGAATATGGGATTTACACAGGGAAAAATATATGCTAAATGAGTTGCCAGTAAAGATAAGAGTAATACTCAGGACGCTCTATGTGCACTTTTCATGAATGATGAGACACTGGGAGGCGAGGAGGGCCAAAGCCTAGGGTGCCAAGGAATGAGAACGTCAGTCGGGTGTGAGGGACGCAGCGAGGAGGACACAGTAGAAACTGCAACGCTGCGAATGTTTGGTTGCTGGAGAAGCTCACGGTCTCAAGTTTTGAGCCACATTCGAGCGCTATACGCGTTCAAATTGCGAAAACAGCCCGGTCGCAGAAAATTCAGTGAAAAGGGCGCACGAAATTGATTAGTCCCATCTAAGATGCGCCGTTGTCCGATTTCTATCGATGCTCGTTGTTTTATTTATAGAATAACCTGTGTATTAGTTTTTGAACGCTTCTGGGTTTGCAATCTAACATCAGGCCTTTTCAAAGAAGGGAGAAGCCCTTTCGAATCCTATTGTCTTAATAATAATTACAATGAAATTATGATCCCGTACCTGAAATGCACAGAGTAAGATAGCGGACAGTTGATGGCCGACAACCGATTGAGAGCGATAATCAAGTGAGAGTAGATGCAGATATCATAGCATATCAGCAAAATGAGACCGACGTAATGGGAGTACTCTTTCATAACTCCAATATCCCTGGAATGAAACGAGAGACAGGTGAGTGCATTTCTTCTGTAGGTGTCAGTTTCAATGAACGCAGTGCCTTTATGATGGAGGCTTCCAGCCATGAGAAGTAACTAGTTAATTTTTACAGGATTTTCTATATTATTTCCGATCTCCGACTACATCCTAGACCTCGCATATTTACTCTAGGTCCCGAGAAAAAGCTGTGCACTATAACCAATTGCTACTTCTTGGCCATGCTTCCTTGGATAGTCGATTTTTCTGTTGTTCTGCTTTCCTGACCTCTTCTAAGATGCGAAAATTGATATTCCGGCCATTTTGGTGAAACCTCAGCTCTCTGTAGGTGTTTTCTTCATTGGCTGAGTTCTATTAGACCCCGTAGAGTATCAGTGGGTTTGAAACGGTTTCTTTGCAATTGCCGACTTTTCAATCTCCAAACACGGCAATTCAATAACTCCCGAGAACAAATTAACTTACAGCACTTCGGGAATTTTCGCAAAGCAGGTCTCCGCGTGAAAATTTCTTTTCAAATGACCCTCGAATTGAGAATGGAAACAACACTTACAAGGCAACCATGGGCACATAGTGGAATGCGAATGAAGCAGCAACAGACTATCTCTCCAGTGGCCTGGCTGGCTGTTAGTCGTCCGAACGAGTTGTTGAGTGTCGGTAGGCTGCGAGTGAACATAGCCACCAGCGCATTACATATAACGCCAGGTAAGGCTATCTAAATACACAGAACTTAAGTGTGGAGCAGAGCGATTCTAAGAATTGTCGTCTAGAGGTTGCAAGGTCAATTAGGTAGAAATCAGTGAAGGTAATTGAATCTATGTTTTTTGTCGGCTTTCTCTTTGAAAAATTGTTGCTTATTGAAGAAATGAATCAATGCGAACCCGAAAGATCAGATTGGGGAGGAGGTCAGTGAATAAGTCACCTTGTGGGAGGTTTTCGCACTTCACTAGAATTGGCTCAAGACTCGGTTTCTCCTCCCAATATTGGGTAAATGTTATATGATTGATGTAAGTTCGGGATGAATGTCAAGCTTTGCCTTTTCGTCCCTTTTGTCCTTCTTACCAACTGAGACTCGGAAACAGTTAACTCGTGTAACAGACAGATTTTAAGTCACGTCGCAAACTCAACGACATATGACGTGATCTGCTGACACTAATTGATTTACCGCTAGACTCTTAAGTAGGCGTGATGACTTGGCCAGCTTACCTCTTCTGCCCTTCGCCGTGCAAGAGGACTCTCGCACTACTCACGAATGAGTCCGTGGCGATTTTCTAGCAGGGGTTAATCGAGCTTCGAAGTGTAACGGCCAACGCTCTTGGAACTTTGGCAAGCGTTTCTTTATATAGACACTCGGTGGTGTGCGCTAGCGAGAAAGAAACCAGGGTATGTCAGCAGTTCTCGTTTCCTACGGCTTCTCCACTTTTGAGTCTCAGAGGATGAGAAACAGCTCACGTTAAGACAGTGTGTGGGAATGAAGCCACTAGCAACTTGTAACATTAGGGGGCTCCTTGGGCAGTACTGGAATTGGCTCACTCAGTGACAGTTGCTCACTCAGTGGCAGCAGCTCACACTAGCAAATGCTTCCTCTTAATAGAGAATCGTCAAGTTCGCCTTTTCATAATCATTATTTCTATGTACAACCAACTATGGAACTTAACTTACCATAAATATAACTGCAGCCACAATTTGACGGTCACGGGCGGCTGTCTCTTCGTCCACATGTTCAGCGGCCAAGCTGTTCATCTTGTATTTAATACGACACCGTAGAAGAATAATACAACACTGAGTACTACCACTGTGCTGCTTCCACTTTGACCAAAGCTGCTACGCGAGAAAATGTAAGCTTTAAAAAAATGCCGCGTCATAGCTGTAGCAGCAAAGTAGATATGGCAGAATTCGAGCATAAAACACAACACAACTACAACTATTAGGTTGTCTCATAAGTAGTGTCGCTTTTTTTCAACCAAAAAATTTTCATCTAAATCCTCATGCTTTTACATCGAGTCATATACCATTCGAAAGAGAATTGTCTGCTCTACAAGATGCTGTGTTCTTCTTCCACCTCTGTTCCAGGGTTTTCAAATTTTAGGTCCTGCGAAATGGGACAAAAATTGACCAAACCGACAACTAGCTCTAACTTTATTTTCCCTGGGGAGAAATCAATCAATGATGTACCCTCTACTTACTCATGACCTCTTCTGAACATTCCACCCTTAGGTTGCCGAAAAAGCTTTGCCGTGTTTCTTTTCGAATTGGCTGACCGATAAGCCATAGCAATTTTCAAATTAAAATTGTTCCTCGTAAACGCCATTGTTTCATATCGAGTGGTGTTCCTTTTGTGAGCACTTCTTCTGCTCTATTCGCTCATTTGTTTTGTTTTATGTTTGTTGGGAATTAGTTCGAATTTTAGGTGTTTAGGAATAAGGTGTTTTATCCACGAAAGTGACCGCATTTCTTTGAAAAAATTATCCCTGAGAAGATGAGAAAATCAACCAGGCGTACATTCCTAACTTAGTCATGACTTGTTCTTTGAAATTCTACTAGTTTTTCAATGTCTCGGCTATAAAAAATTTCGACCTAGATCTCAGGTAATGGTGCTCGACCGTCGAGTTCTGGTTGAAAAACCAGGTCTGGAAATGGAACGACGCGACTTGTTGGGAAACCTAATAGTGTAATGTATAGAATGATTAGAAGAGAGTCATGAGTAAGTAGAGGGTACATCATTGATTGATTTCTCCCAAGGGAAGATAAAGTTAGAGATAGTTGTCGGTTTGGTCAATTTTTGTCGGCTGGACCTCCCATTTCGCAGGCCTAAAATTTGAAAACCCTGGAACAGAGGTGGAAGAGAACATAGCATCTTGTAGAGCAGACAATTCTCTTTCGAATGGTATATGACGATGTAAAAGCATGGGGATTTAGATGAAAATTTTTTGGTTGAAAAAAAGCGACACTACTTATGAGACAACCTAATAAATGGCAACGCAGCAACATAATAACGTGAGATTGTTAGATATGGCTGGTTCGGAGCAGAAACTATAGATGATGTGATAAGTCATTGGGTTCGCTTCGACAACTAGGCTTTGTTACGCGACCTCTTCATCGTTTTAATTGTTTTGGCTCGAAAGCGCAGTTCTACTTTTCGGATCCAGTGGGTTCGTCAGGCAGATTTGTATTTCAATGAAACCCAGACATAAATTAGGGATTGTTAGCCGACATTAATTTTTAGGCCTTTTCCTTTGTGAGCTCCCGCCATATTGGATGTCGACAGCAGCTTTGGAATGTCTTTTCTTCCATTGCTGTATTTTCTTAAGCAATTCCTGACATATGCAGACCCTCAAACGATCTTGACAAAAATGTATGCAACTCTCAAC